GACAGTAGGGTGCTCAGCACGAAACCGGTCAGACTCAGGGTCCGCGACGTCAGGCAAAGAGGACGCAGGTGGAGACGGAAGAGGAGTACGCTCCGGAGTAGGGGACCGACGCAGGGCTACAAGGCGTGTGCCGGGGACAGCCGGCTGACGCGGACGAGGAACACGACGACCGGTACGACTAGGACCAACAGGCGAGACAGGACGCGACGCAGGCTCACGATGCTCAGCAAGACTACCTGTCTGCTCAGTGTAAGGAGAAGGAGTAGGCAGCGGTGAGCCAGGCTGTAACGGAAGACCAGTAGACGACGGGAGAGTAAGAACCTGACGAAGAACAGAGTCAGGCGGCGGCAGAGACGACGGAGACGGCGGAGCGAAGAACAGTCGTGTCGGCACAGCTGCACCAGTACCGGCAGCTCCAGCAGCTCTAGTACCTCCAGCAGCTCCAGAAGCTCGAGCCCCAGAATTGACACCTCCAGGCACAGGGTCTCCAACCTCAGTGCCGCCAGCAGCAGCACCCGCAGAACTAGCACCTCCAGTCTTAGGGTCTCCAGCCTCAATGTCTCCAGCAGCAGCACCCCCAGAACCAGCACCTCCAGTCCCAGGGTCTCCAGCCTCGGTGTCTCCAGCAGCAGCACCTCCAGACACAGCACCACCAGCCCCAGCAGCTCCAGTACCTCCAGTACGAGCACCTCCGGGACCAGCAGCTCCAGTACCTCCAGCAGCAGAGCCCCGGGCTCCAGCAGCGCGACCCTGACGGCGACCGTACCAGTCGTGCAGCTGCTGCGAGGTGAGAGGCACACGGGGACGAAGGCGGCTACTCCAAGGAGACCGCGCAACAGCAGACTCTGAACCCTCAGCGCCAGCACCCTCAGCAGCTCCAGCGCCACCAGCACCAGGACCTCCAGCAGCTCCAGAACCTCCAGCGCTCGCACCCTCAGCAGCCCCAGAACCACCAGCTCCAGCGCCACCAGCACCAGGGCCTCCAGCAGCTCCAGAACCTCCAGCGCCCGCACCCTCAGCAGCCCCAGAACCACCAGCTCCAGCACCTCCAGACCCCTCACACGCAGGCTCAGCACCTCCAGGCTCCACACTCTCAAGCTCTGCACCCCCAGGCTCAGCACCCCCAGAAGTAGCACCCCGAGCAGGACCACCCCCAGTAGGACCTGAGTCACCAGTGACCTCGACCGGCGCAGGGAAGGGAGGAGGGTCTACCTGAGACACACCTGAAGGAGCAGGACCGGGAGCGGGGAGGGGGTCTACCTGGGGAGCACCTGGAGCGAGGAAGAGCGGCGGGGGAGGGAGAGGGGCAGTGCGGTAGGGGAAGAGACGGTAAAAGGGAACCGACTCATCGAACGTGACGTCCTGAGACGCAAAGACACGGCGCGAGGTGGGGTGGTAAAACTGCCAACCAGGCGCGTCAGGGACAAAGCCAAGGAAGACACAGGGAACAGCACGGGCGGAGAGCTTGTCCGCGGTGGTATCACGGACAAAGGCACGAGCACCCCAGACCCGGAAACGCGACGCATCGCCAACCTTCCCCGTCCACAGCAGCGTGGGCGAGGTCTCCGGCAAGGAGACACGGGGCCAGAGGTTGAGCTGATGCGCGGCGTACCGGACCGCAAACGGCCACAGAAAATGGGGGGCAGCCGCATGGATCATGGAGGTATGAGCGACCTCCATGACTAAGCCAATGCGGCGCTCAGCAACCCCATTCTGCTGCGGAGAGGCCGGAAGCGTGAACGACTGGGTGATGCCGTGCTCCGCACAGAAGGCTGCCAAGAGGTCTGAGGAGAACTCACCACCTCTGTCAGAGTGCAGACGCAGGACGGGAAACTCCGTCCCGAACCGCTCGCGGAGCTGGAGACGGGCAGCGCGGATCCAAGGGATCAAAACAGCAGGGACCTCCCCCTTGCTGCGCAGGGGAAAGACCGTGGTGTAACGCGTGTAGTCGTCAACAACCAGCAGGAAGTACCGCTCGTGGCCCTGTCCACGGACGCGGGCTGGGCCCCACACGTCCAGGTGGAGAGTCTGCAGGGGAGCCTCTGTGGGAGGGAACGAGGAGGAGTGAGGAGCGGCGCGCTGCCGCCCCTCGACGCAAGGAATGCAGGGCGGCGCAAGCGAGGGAGGCAGGGCAGGCAAAGACCTGGGCAGACCAGAAACCAGGAAGCGAGAGTGCATGCCACGAAGGCGCTGCACCGAGGGGTGACCAAGGCGGTGGTGCCACAGGAGGGTCTGGTGCGACAAAGCGCGACACTCGCAGGGGGCCGTCGGCTGACCGGACGCAGACGCAGACGCAGCTACCTGAGGGGACTCAGTGGTCAGGGTGTACAGACTCGAGCCAGGCGCACGGGAAAACGTGGCCAGGTGTCGGCCGGTCCGAGCACACGTACAGTGAGTCACTCGCTGACTCGCAGGAGTGAACTGGTGCACCCCCCTATCCTGGAGGTCAGCTCCACTCACCAAGTTCGTAGAGAACGAGGGGAGGTAAAGACCTGACAGCAAGCCAGACGGGGCGGCCGGACACGGCAGAACCGTGGAGTAGTGGGCAAGGACTGGACCCCCGGAGGGGTCCGCCAGGGAGACTGGAACCGGCCGACTAAGCGGCGTGAGTGTGGTACAGTCGCGAAAGAAGGAGCGGGAAGCACCTGAGTCAAGCGTGAAGGTGTACAAGGCCGCAGCAGGCGCAGAACCAGAGAGCAGCAGCCTCACCAGCACCGAGAGCAGGAGACGTACTAGCACCTAGAGCAGCAGCCTCACCAGTACCTAGAGCAGGAGACGCACTAGCACCTAGAGCAGCAGCCTCACCAGCACCGAGAGCAGCAGGCTCTATACCAGGGTCAGGCGGTACGCACAGGTAACAGGCACGGTCAGCACTAGTAGGCAATGCATACATGGCAGTGAGAATAGCATCATAGTCAGGAGCAAAGATATCTACCCTCTGTCCAAGCAGCTCCAGCCAAGCAGGGAGCTCAGCCTCGTCGCCAAACACTGTACGCCAGTCGTCGCTCAGACGGGCGAAGCAGCGGGACTGTGTGTGACCAAGCGTCCCGCAAGGCTGACCAACCCGATCACCTGTGCGAATGACGTACTGGCAGCGAACTGTACGCGTAGACCTGCTACACTGAGCGTACCACTCGTGGAGCTGCCGGGACGTAAGTGTCTCGCGTGGACGCCCCTGCAGCTGTAGCTGGCCACTGCCAGACGCTCCCAACTGACCAGCTCCAGGGGGACAGCTACGACGGCTACCGCGACAACCCCAGCTAGTATACCACTCACTAAGCTGCTGGGGCGTGAGAGACTCACGTGAACGTCGCTGGAGCTGCATCTGGCCACCTGCCAGTAGCAGTAGCAGCAGCAGTAGCGCGGGCAGGGCAGGCGCGGCAGGCCGACAGGCAGGCAGGAAGGCAGGCAGGCAGGCAGGCAGGCAGGCCGGCAGGCAGGCAGGCAGACAGGCAGGCCGGCAGGCAGGCAGGCAGGCAGGCAGGCAGACAGACAGGCAGGCCGGCAGGCAGGCAGGCAGGCAGGCAGGCAGGCCGGCAGGCAGGCAGGCAGACAGGCAGGCCGGCAGGCAGGCGCTCACCAAAGGCTGGAAGAGCAGGCGCTCGCCGGGCGAGCAGGGCCGGCGCTCGACGGGCGGCGGCCGAGTAGGCGCACGACAGCGGCGACGTCGGGGCCGCAACACCCGGTGCAGAGTAGGGCCGAAGCAGCTGCAGGGCGGGGCCGCTTCAGCGGCAGGTCGGGGCCGTGGCAGCTGCAGGGCGGGGCCGTATCAGCGGCAGGTCGGGGCCGAGGCAGAGGGACGCGCGCGGCTCGGCGCGGGCTGCGCTGACAGCGCGCTGGGCTGCTGCAGGCCGCGCGCGGCCGCGCTAGGCAGTAGCGGGCCGCGCGCGGCTCGGCGCGGGCTGCTGCGGGCCGCGCGCGGGCCGCGCGAGGCAGTAGCAGGCCGCGCGCGGCTCGGCGCGGGCTGCTGCGGGCCGCGCGCGGGCCTCGCGAGGCCGTAGCAGGCCGCGCGCGGCTCGACGCGGGCTGCGTGGGCTCGGCGCGGGCTGCGCGCGGCAGCAGCGGGCTGCGCGCGGCTCGGTGCGGGCTGCGCGCGGCTGCAGCGGGCTGCGCGCGGCTCGGTGCGGGCTGCGCGCGGCTGCAGCGGGCTGCGCGCGGCTCTGTGCGGGCTGCGCAGGCTCGGTGCAGGCAGTGCGCGGTAGCAGCGGGCTGCGCGAGGCTCGGGGCGGGCTGTTCGCGGGCCTGAAGGGCGTGTAGGGGCGGCGCGCGGGCCTTACGGGCCTCTAGGGGCAGCGCGCTGGCCTAGGGCAGCAGGAGGCAGCGCTAGGGCTGCTGGACGGCTCGCGTAGTGCAGCACGTCACAAGGCAAGGCAAGGCAGGCAGGTACGTGGGGTAGCGTGGTAACCGCAGCGGTAGGTGGGCCCGAAAAAAAAGCGGTCCTACGGACCTTAGTGCTCTGAAACCATGTTAGAATCTGGCAGCAGGAATGTGTGAACTAACAGCATGCAGGAGTACAAGTAGTAAACCCTAATTGGGTTGTACCCCATATGGGCTACCCCACTACAGCCTAGACAATATGCAGCATATATGTTTGACAGATACAAGTCTGAGGCTCAGCCTACACTTGTAAAATTAGGCTGAAATTTCAGACAACTCATAAAAAAAAACTCCGAAAAATCAGACAAGGTACATAAATAAATTCTTTGAGTTCTGACTAGGTAAAAAAAAAAAGTCTGATATCTAAACAGACTCTGAATCAGACTCCAAAGTCTGATATCTAGGGCACTGCTTTGGACTTCCATTCACATCACCTCATGTTTACCCTTGATATAAAATGGACATACTTATAATGTGGTATATTATTTGCACAGAACCCCACCTGTAGCATGTAAGCCCCTGGCAGCCTGAAGTACCGTATTGTAGGATATGGCCCACTAAGACATCAACGCGAGTATCAGCAGCACCCATGACTTGATGTTCACAGATTTTTCCAGCCAAGCTCAGCTTCCTGGAATATGACCTTGGGGAGAGATACACTCTTGAAGGAATTTCAAGAGCTCTCTTCTCCTCCCTGCAGGATCAGCCCCTCTCACCTGCGCAGTGGTTCCTAGGACTCTTGGCTCCCCTCCACAACCCGCCCCTACCTGAGCTACCTTCCAGTACATGCACGACAGCTCACTCTGGTACTGATCATACACTATGGTAGCGTTAGCCTTCTTTTTCCTAATAGCAGGCCAGTCATACCAATCCATGGCATACTGCCATATTTGCTGCTGAGGGAAGCGGTTCACATCATCACACCCAGGCAGCTCCCCATCAGGAAGCGCATGGCACACGCCCTCGTGCGAGTAGTAAGCCGCCACCTGGACGTAGGTCTTGATAACGCGTGGCGCGTTATCGTTGTGATTCGTGGCGACGCGAAAGGGCTGCGTGTAGGGGAGATGCACGCCGACACGAGGGATCGGTGTGTGATTGGTCCATTCCAAAGCCCAGTGCACCTCATCATGTGCAAACGCCCACATGTAATTCCCAATAGTCGTGTGGGCGATCTGGGTCCGCTCAAAACGAGGTCCACGTTCTGAAAACCACTTGAAAGCAGAGTCAAAGGTTCCCCCCTTATCCTTGTGCAGATTTGCTACGTGGCTCCTAAATTTTGGCAGCACGCTGGTCGGCATAAGAAACGGCAGCTGCACCATGAAGTTGGCGAAATACTTGTCCTCGCCAACAAAAAACTTGGTGGAGGGTAACCAGTGGTCCAGCTGTCGCTGCGCACTTCCTATCACGTACGGCTTGCCGTTCGTCAAGTTGAACAGTAACCCGGGCGTTACTTTCATGTTGAAGATGACGTCATCATCTATTAAGGCCACGTAAGGGGCTGTAGTGTAGTTGTCAGCCCAGAGGTAGCTCCACTGCTGCAGGATCTTTCCTGGGAGTTTCAGCCTGTTCTCCTCATAGTAGACTTTGATCCATGTGGGAATGAGGTCCTCGGCCAATCGCTCATCGCCATCGAGGATGAGGATGACGTCACCAATGCCACGTGGCCACATCTGCTCGATGCTGTCAAAGAGCATCTCGAGCAGGAAGAAGCTGCTTGACACGTGGCTGCGGATCACAAGGTCCACGCAGCTGGGCCATAACGATCTGCCAATAAGGAGCAGCAGAAAGGTAACGTAGACGAAAGTATCTGTGTGAGATACAAAGGATATTGACGGGAGGAGAAACAGCACCTTACAACGGCAGCCTGCCCTATTAAAAGATGCGCAAAGAAAGAAAGAGAAAAACAGAGAAACAAAGATCGACGAGTTCCTTGCACGCACCGGTATGCGTCGTCGTAGAGGCTGAAGAGCTCCGCCACGCAGTGACCCGTTCGTGACCGCCGCCTGCACTCCCTCCCGCTGCTTCCGGCGCCAGCAACGTCCGAGACAGCATCACCACTGTCACTGGTAGCGGTAGCATTACTATAATTAGTGGTAGTAGTAAGGATACCGTTAATAATTGTGCTAGAGGGATCGTCAGAGCACTGTTCAAGGACATCTTTTCCAGCATTCCCGCCGCCAGGCTCGCTGGAAGTCGTAGTAGTAGCAGTATCAGAGTTCACGGAACCGGAACTGACGGCGACGCCGTCTGCCGCGCTAGCGCTCCTCCCTGCCACCGTGTCGTCGGGCTTGCCTGTCTGCGGGTCGGCATCGGAATTGCCCGGCTCGTGCCGAGACGAGGAGGTCTCAGGCATCATTCCCAGGACCATCTTTGCGGTTAACACCGCCTCGTCTCCGCCAGCGGCTCGATAGTCACGAGAAAGGTTCTCGTCGTCGCTGTCTTGCGGAATCCGTAGGGCAGCTGCTAAGTCGTCGTGGTAGTCGTACGGCGCCGTCAACAGCTGTCGCAGGCCCGTCGCACCACGGAGCCCGCGAACCGAGTCGTCCGGCGACGAGACAGTCGTGTTTGTCGTACCGTGTCGCACAGCGGAGGCGAGAAGCAGCAGCGAAAGCGCCGTCGCGAGAGGGAGAAGACAGAAAATGGCCTCTCGACGGGTAATTACAAGAAACGGCGGCGAGTCCTTGAAGCTGCTGCTGTTGCTCCGGCAGCTCCGACTCTTCGCCGCAAAATTCGGGCTTTCCTCCTCGGAAGCATTACTACTACTATAAGTACTAGTAGCACATCTTGGGGTGATTGATCCGCTGCTTCTAGGACTACTACTGCTCAATGCGACGCCACTGGTAGTACCGCCACAAGACCGGGAGCTTGTCGGGCTGCTGGATCGCAAAGTGGGTAACGATAGCGTGGATGACGCTGGCGGCCATGGATCCGCCGCTGCGAAAGGCGCTTCCACGGAGATGGACAGATCTTTCCGTCGAGGGATGGTAGCGGCCATGGTACTCGTACTGCTCCGACTCGAAATTTCTGGATTGTAGTTTTTGAGGCGCCTCAAAAATCAGGGATGGTAGCCACCATGATACTCGTACTGCTGCGACTCAAAAATTCTGGAGAGTACGACTTTTTTCCGCGGCTATTGGAGGTCCAGAGGTACTAGAACCAGCGGGGCTGCATCGGGCCTTGAGGCGACTTACGACGCGATGCATGGCGTTGATGACGAACGTGCACTTGGTCGTTCTGACTTCTGGCATGCCTCTCAGATATGCCATCATGTGGGCATGGGAAGAAGTCACGCAGAGAAAGGACGTCATGGGAGATTCAGGTTACTAGCCCATCACCTGAAGGACTGCCATGGACGGAGAGATGGTCGCTTTCAGGTGATTCCTGGCTGTGAAGGATTGTCGGGACTAGCTGTCGATCATAATCGCCGCTCGGGAGAAGCACTAGGAGTCAACGGGGTTGCACGGGTGCTTCTGGCCGACCAAAATGGCTATCCAATACAGACTCTGCCACTCTCTTGGTCGGAATGCTACAAAGATGGAAGCAGCAGGGACAGGAAGAAATGCGGCAAATCAGGGCGGGGTGAGAGTTCGTGGTTCGAGTCGAGTGGCAGACTGGCAGTGTTTCTTGCACCCGCCTAGCTGAAATTTCTTTCAATGTCGGCGGGAACGGGTGCGCCACGATTTGGCTGGAACGCCATGGCTCGAGAATTCGTCAGGGGTGTTTCGATTTCGGCCGTTTGGTCGGTTTGGAATATTACCGCGAAAGGAAGGGGATTGAAGAACGAAATTGCATATTTGGGTTGCGTAACACTTCTCGGTTGACTCGAATGAACAATGCAGTTTTTGTCATTTTCCCAATGTCTAAAGCCCCCGTTTTCAAGTTTTCAAAACGAGTGATCCAAAGTTGTGGAGATGACGCAAGCACTTATAACACAAGAGTCACCAAAAAATGAAACCAAATGCAACTTTTTCATTCCAGAATCGTCGATAAATACAGCGAATGGAACAATTGGTCGTCACGAAACAGAATTGACTAGAAACTGTCAAAACATTGCGCCCCTAGGCTGGCCGTTGTTCATGCCCGAATCGCGCCTCTAGACAAGCCGTTTTTTCCTGCCAAAATCGCGCCCCTAGGCTGGCCGTTTTTTCTGCCCGAATCGCGCCCTAGGCGAGCCGTTTTTCCTGCCCGAATCGCGCCCCTAGGCGAGCCGTTTTCTCTACCCAAATTTCGCCCCTAGGCGAGCTTTTTCCCTACCCGAATGTCAAGTATTGTGTTGTGTAGGCTGTATTGGGGTAGCCAATAAGGGTACAACCCAATTAGGGTTAGTACTTGTACTCACTTCTTGCTCAATACATTCATTCTCGTTCTTAACTTTGACATGGTTTTAGAGCAAGTCCTGTCCCAAGACCGTTTTTAAAGGCCCACCAACTAGCACGCTGCCCGTAGCGCTGCCCCACCCGTCGCGCCGCCCGCGCACGCCCTGTCCTACCCCACCATGCGCTGCGCCGCCCCGCGCACGCCCTGCCCTGCGTCGCGCTGCCCCGCGCACGCCCTGCCCTGCGTCACGCGCCCAGCGCACGCCTTACCCTGCCCTGTGTTGCGCCGCCCGCGCCCGCCCTGCACTGCGTCGCACTGCCCCGCGCACGCCCTACACTGCGTCTTGCGCCCCGCGCACACCCTACCCTACCCTACGTCGCGCCCCCCCGAGCACGCCCTGCCCTGCGTCGCGCTGCCCCGCGCACGCCCTGCCATGCGTCGCGCGCCCCGCGAACGCCTTGCCCTGCCCTGCGTCGCGCCGCCCGCGCACGCCCTGCCCTGCGTCACACTGCCCCGCGCATGCCCAGCCCTGCGTCGCACACCCCGCCCTGTGTCGCACGCCCCGCGCACGCCCTGCCTTACCCTACGTCGCGCCCCCCGAGCACGCCCTGCCCTGCGTCGCGCTGCCCCGCGCACGCCCTGCCCTATGTCGCGTCGCCCGCGTACACCCTGCCCTGCCCTGCGTTGCGCCGCCCCGCGCACGCCCTGCCCTGCGGCCCGCCGCCCTGCGCACGCCCTGCCCTACGGCCCGCGAAGGAGGAGGTTCTAGTCTTCGGGAAGCTGGTGTTTGTTGAGCTGTCACTGGGGGCGTTACGACTGGGGGTGCGGGTGCGCCCTCTGCTGGACCTGGAGAGCCTGGGACTGGCCGCTTTGCTGCTGGCAGTGCTGGCTCTGGGGATGGTGCGACTGGTGATTTGGAGAGCGGTCTTGGGGCTACCACCGCCACGGACACTACTCCTCCCCATCACCCCTACCTTATCTGGCACCAGGCCCTTCTTCGCCGTGCACAAGAGGAGCAGCTGGAGTTGGAGCGAGAGAGGCTAGCGTTGGAGCGGTAGCAGCTAGAGCTACATCAGTTGGAGGAGCAGTACCCGCCGCAGCAGGAGCAGCAGCAGCAGCAGCCGCAGCAGGAGCAGCAGCAGCAGCAGGAGCAGCAGAAGCAGCAGCGGCCGCCTACACCTCTTGTCTCTGGCCTTCGGACCCTTGGTCTCCCCTCTCCCTCTCCTCCCTCCTCCCCCTCTCCTCCTGTCTACGGTCCCATGTTTCCTCCTCCTGACTCCACCCCGGCTGTTTTCCCCCATTCTCAGCCTCTGTTTTCCCCTCCTCTTTCTCACACTTGGGCTTCTCGCTCTCCTCGTGCTCGTCCCTTGTCCCCTGTTCCCGCCATTGACCTTCGTACTGTCATGTTTCATTCTAGCTCCCCTCGTCCGTCTCCATCTCTGCTTCCTTCTCCCCTTGAGTCGGCCTTTACTCTCCCTCTCTGCTCCTGTCACTGACTGCTATCGCACGTACCGTCCTCTTCTCTCTCGTGTTCTCGCCTCTCTTACAGATCCACAGGCACCTACGTCGACGAGGTTCCCCCTCCCGTGGCGAACGTAGTCGATGTCATGTGAATCTTCAAGGTGAAGCGGCCACCGGGATCTCCTCCGGCCCACAAGGTGTATTTTGTGGCTAGAGGTTTCAGTCAGAGCTATGGAGTTGACTTCTTTCAGACCTTCGCGCCTACCCCGAAGATGACCACTCTTCGGGTGTTACTTCACGTAGCAGCACAGAGAGACTACGAGTTACACTCTCTCGACTTCTCCACTACCTTCCTTCAGGGTAGCCTACACGAGGAGGTCTGGCTGCGTTGTCCCTCTGCCTTCACTGGCACTTTCCCTCCTGGGACCCAGTGGAGGCTCAGACGTCCGATCTACGGTCTCCGTCAGGCACCTCGTGAGTGGCACGACACTCTTCGCTCTACCTGTCTGACCTCGGTTTTTAGTCGTCTACTGCCGAACGTCGCTGTTTGTTTGTTGCGGCTCCACACCTTTTTTTGTACTAGTATACGTCGACAACCTCGTCTTCGCCACTGCTGACACGGTTGCTTGAGCGGACGTGAAGTCCAAACTGCAGAGGAGGCATACGTGCACCACTAGAGGTGTTGTGTGCAGTTAGGTCTCGTTGACACAGGTTCTCGTCTTGCGTAGACTTGGGTTCTCTACTTACTTTGTTTGTACACTTGGCTTATACCTCTGTGAACTCTTGTGTTAGAAACTAGGCCAAGAATGAATGAACTATGAGATGAATGGGATACAAATGTGAAACCCTAAAGGGGTTGTACCCTTTAGTGGCTACCCCACAGTAGCCTACA